GAAGAAGAAGAAGAAGAAGAAGAAGAAGAAGAAGAAGAAGAAGAAGAAGAAGAAGAAGAAGAAGAAGAAGAAGAAGAAGAAGCTGGAAACCACAGAGCAAGAGGAATTAGAGATACACTCCTAGTCTGAGGCTGAAGGAGTGAGTGGAAGTTCCCTAAAAAACAGCTCATGGAATTTATATTGGAAGGATGAAGATCTTGAAGTCTGGTGTTCATAGGTGATGCCAGGAGCTAAAGGTGTACTTGCTCTAGCAGTATCAAGCATGCAAGTCTGCTATTTTTTTTTCCTTTTCCCTTTTGTTCCATGTAGATTGCAAGCATATTGAATGGTACCACCCATAATCAAGCCACATCTTCCCACTGAGGTTTGGTGACCCATTGCTACTCATCTCTGAATGCACCCCCCCCCACACACACACGGAAAGCATATTTTATTAATCTCCTATTGTCACTCAATCCAGGCAAGTTGATAATAGAGATTCATTTCACAGGAGGATCAAGACTTTTTTGTTGTTATTGCTTTTTTTGTTCTTATTTGTTTTTGCATTTTTGTTTTTTGCACAGAATTCTTGGGAAAAGCCCTTCTGAGAAGGTGAAGTGAAGACATAAATTAAACAAGAGGGGATTATATAGGAAAACAGGAGCTGTGCCTAGGCACAAAGTTTGCTTGACAGGTAGATATCAGTGGACCTGAGAGATACAAAGAGGGAACAGCATTCAAAATAGCATGTGTTGCCAGTTAAGAGACAAAGTTATTATGTCAATAAGCAATACATATCTTAGGGCATAGACCTACAGTGATTAAACAAAGCACAATCATATTTTAAGGTGGATATATGGCATACATTCTGATCCCTGGCAGTCTAGATCCAGAACAAGGCAAACAGTATTCTTGGCTGTCAGAGCTTACAGCCCAATGATATCAGGAAAGGAAATGTTTTTTAAATACATCCCTGCCTTAGTGGATGACCTAGTTTGAACAAAGAGACCTTGTTTAAATTAAGGATTTATTTTTCTTAAATTTCTTCCCTAAGTTCCTTTCATGATTATAGCCCTGGTGGAAACACTGATCAACTGAAAAGGTCAAGAAAACATTTTGCAACTCCAATGTAACTTCTAAATAAAATTGTTGATACACACCATAATTATCTTAGTTCCCTAATCCCCAGGAATAATTTTTTTTATTTTTTTCCATAATTTTATTGATAAACAAATAGCAAAGACACAGTTTCAAATCAAATTGGTTGGACAGTTTCAATAATTAACACATTGCATACATTCCTCCCAGTGGTTAATTGCTGTACAAAAAATATGGAACGCTTCACGAATTTGTGTGTCATCCTTGCGCAGGGGCCATGCTAATCTTCTCTGGTTTTTTTTTTCAACAAATAATACACTGCATATATTCTT